CCAACACAGCCAACTTTGCAACCAGCACACTTTCTTTCCTTCAACAACAATACATAGTGCTTATTCCAACCTTTACAAAATAGTGTGTTTTATTAACATACCCTTACAGAAAGAGCAAAAGGAGAATATTCGCCTTATGACAAAGGGCACCTCAAATCCTATCCAGAGGCCTGCAAACTGCTTTCCAACAATCGTTCTTGCATGCTACTTAAAACCCGAGGTCAGCATGGCAAAGTGGTTTTCGTATTTTGGGTTTTGAACACTACTTGGCAGAGTAGCGAGACTTTTATTCGTTGAGACTACCCTGGCGAAGCATCACACATGTTCGCCACACAAAGAGTTTACTAGAAGGCTGACGATAGGGGCGACAACCAAGGTGAGCCGTCAGGTGCCAATGAGTGCAACCCATCAGGGTGCGTGCGGACATGACGAACGTGGAAACAAACATAGCAACACAACCAATCAGGGTTGGGAAAGCATGAAAACTGGGAGATACAACTCGGGCTTTAAATCTTGCTTGTACTTGCCATTATCAACCAATTCTCATTCAACTCTTCTTCAATTACTCAGTAACTTCTTCGCCTATTTCGCCAATAGTCTTTTCGCCAAAGTCTTCCGCCGCGTTTCATCCTCGACTTAGTCGACCCCGCTAATTCTTTAGCGGACTTAGGCCAGCAGGCCTAACAAAAAGCGTGGCATGTTACAGATACAGGACGCCAGGGTTTGTACAGTTGTCACCACATGCATAGTAGCGAGTACAGACATGACACAAGTTGTTGCCCATCACATCACTGCGGCTGCTCCTGCCCCTCACAATCCCGTGAAAACACACACGTGAAATCCCCCGTGCCGCCCACTATGCGCACAAAGTCATTCCGGCAGAACAGCCCCGCATCCCGCGCCACACACCGCTCCCCAAAGCGCCTCTCCGCCCACCCTGGCAGCTCATCTGGCCCCACCACGCCCCCCATCCCCCCCAGCCCTGCCGCCACCACCTCCCTCGCCGTGCCGAGAATCACCCTCAGGTCGCTCAAATCCTCCTCTGTCAGCTCCACCCGCCTGCGGTGAGTGAAATACTCCTTGCACTCGGGGTGCCCATGTGTGCACTCGTACAGACTCAGCGCGTCCACCTCCGCGCGATCCCCTCCCTGAAAGCTTCCGTGGCGGCACATCTTCATGAAGTAGGGGAGGCCGGCACTGAGAGCCATGGCGTAGTAGGTCTCGTGCAGCACGTGGTACGGCATGATCTCGATCACTGCTGTGGTGCGCCGCGCGAAGAGCGGTGGGTTGGCGAGGGCAGCGCCGTGCAGGGAGAGAATGATGTCGGCTGATTGGATGGCCTCAAACTGCTGCTTGAACGTCAGCTGACTGAGCTCCGCCATGGTCACCTGGTGTGTGGGAGGAGCGTGGGATGGGCATCATGGACACAAGTACAGAAACTGATGGCGGGGCAGCTGACCCAGCTGGTGGACGTTGAGGGGCAGCTGACCCAGCTGGTGGACGTTGAGGGGCAGCTGACCCAGCTGGTGGACGTTGAGGGGCAGCTGACCCAGCTGGTGGACGTTGAGGGGCAGCTGACCCAGCTGGTGGACGTTGAGGGGCAGCTGACCCAGCTGGTGGACGTTGAGGGGCAGCTGACCCAGCTGGTGGACGTTGAGGGGCAGCTGACCCAGCTGGTGGACGTTGAGGGGCAGCTGACCCAGCTGGTGGACGTTGAGGGGCAGCTGACCCAGCTGGTGGACGTTGGGTGGGGGACCGTGGAGCGGTGGAAAGGAGGTGCATGGACGAGAGGAAGTATGGATGTCAGCAAGGTCATGCATGCTGCTCACCTCCACACCAAGGTCATGCTGCTCACCTCCACACCAAGGTCATGCTGCTCACAGGTCATGCTGCTCACAGGTCATGCTGCTCACAGGTCATGCTGCTCACCTCCACACCAACCAGTCACGGGTCTCACCTCCATGTTCATCTCCTCCATCAGTCGCAGCAGAGCCTCGTGGCTCTCCGGCAGCAACGTGCGGCGCTGCCTCAGCTCCGCGCCCAGCCGGGTGATGTACAGCACGCGCGCCCGCCACCCCTGCACGCCCTGCGGCCCCCACAGCACCGCGGGGGGCGGCTGCAGGCGCAGCTTCACCCGCAGGTGGCGCCGCAGGTAGCCGGCTTGCGCTGGCGACGAGGGGAACACCTGGCCCTGATAGGAGTGGGAAGAGAGGTGACGACACAGGCACACAGAGGTTCAGGCTTGAGTGGCACAAGGACGGTGGCTCTGGGGGGTACAGCTGGTTCCTGCAGGAAGCGACCAGGAAGCGACCAGGAAGCGACCAGGAAGCGACAGAAGGGCAGGTGGCAGGAGGATAATGGTGCCTGCAGTTTACAGCTGGGCGTGTGGGGAAAGTTAAGGGAGGGTGTGACGATGTTGATTAGGTCGAAGGTCAGGAATGAATGAGAGCATGGATCCCACACAGCTTGCTGTGCACGCGGCTCTGCTGCTAGCCTGTCTGTGCTACGGATGAGAGGAGAACCGGGCGTGCAGGGAGGGAGGTCGCCACACGTATTGTGAGTGAGCGCACAGGTCGCCCCGGAAGGTGGGTCTGGTTGCCGAGCCACACGTATCCGTGCCGCCGGCCCGCTGCAGAGGAGGCACGCTCGTGTCGCTGAGGGGAAGTGGAGATAGCGAGAGAGCGTGTTGAGTGGGCTGTCAAGGCACCCTCGCAGGTGGTGATTTCAGCCGCAGCTTGACGTTCAGCTGGTGCTGCGGAGGAATGCTGGCTGCACGGGTGACGAGGAGCATGGCAGCTGGCTGCACGGGTGACGAGGACCATGCCAGCTAGCTGCACGGGTGACGAGGAGCATGGCAGCTGGCTGCACGGGTGACGAGGACCATGCCAGCTGGCTGCACGGGTGACGAGGAGCATGCCAGCTGGCTGCACGGATGACGAGGAGCATGGCAGCTGGCTGCACGGGTGACGAGGACCATGCCAGCTAGCTGCACGGGTGCCGAGGAGCATGGCAGCTGGCTGCACGGGTGACGAGGACCATGCCAGCTGGCTGCACGGGTGACGAGGAGCATGCCAGCTGGCTGTGCCGTGTGGTCAATCGTGCAGGCAACGCGGGTGGGATGTCCCCGGGACAAATGGAGAAGGTTGACTCGGCAGAGGCGTGAGAGCGGAGACATGCTCCCCTGGTGTGCACAGCACATGGGCGTGTGAGGCGGGCTGCTTCGCACGGAAGGAGGGCTGCTTCGCTATCTTCCCCGGGGTACCACGAGGTGGGCCAAGGGTGAGAGACGGAGAAAAAGTGCAAGACAGGGAGGGTCCAATTGAGCACGTAGCGCCCAGTTGGAGCACGTAGCCCAGTTGGAGCACGTAGCCCAGTTGGAGCACGTAGCCCAGTTGGAGCACGTAGCCCAGTTGGAGCACGTAGCCCAGTTGGAGCACGTAGCCCGTACATGGGATACCCTCATTTGAACCCACCTTGAACCCACCTTGAGAATCCCCGGCAGCAGCACGCGCTCGAAGCACAGCGGCTCGTCTTCCGTGGCGCGGCGCCACGCCCCCTCAAACTCCACCAGCCCGTTGGCCATGGGGTCGTCCCCCAACACGCGGTGCTCGTGCCTGCCTTGGCAGGGGTGTGGTGGGTGGGGGTGATGGGCGGACAGGAGGGAAAGGGAGGGGGACGCATCAGGTGTGACACACATGACGTGAGTGGAAGGAAGTGGGGTGTGACACACATATGTTGTGGGTGTGGGTGTGGGTGTGGGTGTGGGCTGTGGAAATCTAGGCCGAAAGCAAGCACAGAGAGGTAACAGGAGGGCACGTACAGCTGAGAGGATGCACGTACAGCTGAGAGGATGCACGTACAGCTGAGAGGATGCACGTACAGCTGAGAGGATGCACGTACAGCTGAGAGGATGCACGTACAGCTGAGAGGATGCACGTACAGCTGAGAGGATGCACGTACAGCTGAGAGGATGCACGTACAGCTGAGAGGATGCACGTACAGCTGAGAGGATGCACGTACAGCTGAGAGGATGCACGTACAGCTGAGAGGATGCACGTACAGCTGAGAGGATGCACGTACAGCTGAGAGGATGCACGTACAGCTGAGAGGATGCACGTACAGCTGAGAGGATGCACGTACAGCTGAGAGGATGCACGTACAGCTGAGAGGATGCACGTACAGCTGAGAGGATGCACGTACAGCTGAGAGGATGCACGTACAGCTGAGAGGATGCACGTACAGCTGAGAGGATGCACGTACAGCTGAGAGGATGCACGTACAGCTGAGAGGATGCACGTACAGCTGAGAGGATGCACGTACAGCTGAGAGGATGCACGTACAGCTGAGAGGATGCACGTACAGCTGAGAGGATGCACGTACAGCTGAGAGGATGCACGTACAGCTGAGAGGATGCACGTACAGCTGAGAGGATGCACGTACAGCTGAGAGGATGCACGTACAGCTGAGAGGATGCACGTACAGCTGAGAGGATGCACGTACAGCTGAGAGGATGCACGTACAGCTGAGAGGATGCACGTACAGCTGAGAGGATGCACGTACAGCTGAGAGGATGCACGTACAGCTGAGAGGATGCACGTACAGCTGAGAGGATGCACGTACAGCTGAGAGGATGCACGTACAGCTGAGAGGATGCACGTACAGCTGAGAGGATGCACGTACAGCTGAGAGGATGCACGTACAGCTGAGAGGATGCACGTACAGCTGAGAGGATGCACGTACAGCTGAGAGGATGCACGTACAGCTGAGAGGATGCACGTACAGCTGAGAGGATGCACGTACAGCTGAGAGGATGCACGTACAGCTGAGAGGATGCACGTACAGCTGAGAGGATGCACGTACAGCTGAGAGGATGCACGTACAGCTGAGAGGATGCACGTACAGCTGAGAGGATGCACGTACAGCTGAGAGGATGCACGTACAGCTGAGAGGATGCACGTACAGCTGAGAGGATGCACGTACAGCTGAGAGGATGCACGTACAGCTGAGAGGAGGTGTGCATCTGCGGTGTGAGTAAGGGCGTGAGGGCAAACTCTATGAGCGCCTGCAGCACCAACGCGTGGATGGCATAGCCGCCCCCCATGCGCCACCTGCCGTGTTGCAGGGTTTGAGAGAGGCAGAACGTAATAAGGTGGAATAAGGAGAGGGTGGATGGAAGGCGTGGATGGATGGTGCCGAAGCAGGGCCGACTCAGATGAACTCATTGGCAGTGCTATTGGAATGTGGTCAACATTCTGGCATCAGCCTGCTCCACATGTTACACTCGTCCCAAGGCAGCCGACGCCTCACCTCAGCATCATCCCAATCCTCACATGATGCGGGCATCACATGAGTTAAGCATTCCACCATGGGCACACCACGAGCGCGCCACGAGGGCGTGCAGCACTGGCGGGTCCGTGAAGTTGTTGGCCAGCAGCAGCGTGAACGCCTTGCCTGCCGCGGGCGGGAGGAGAGGTGGCAGAGAGAGGGGGGTGTACGCACAAGTAGAAAAGCTGTTGGCAGCACATTTGTGTGTGTGAAGAGAGTATGAGACAGATGAGTAGGTCATGCACAGATGAGTAGGTCATGCACAGATGAGTAGGTCATGCACGGCTTCATGCTACAACTACACTTCCCACTCACACGCACCCACACAGTGTGGTGCGGCACATTGGGTGCCATACCATGTGATCATGTATGCGCCAGCATGAGCCACCATACACCATGGCATGACCAGCACATGCGTACCTATGAACAACGCACCTATGAAGTGAGCCACGTTCACGGCCTGGTAGTCAAACCGCTGCAGCAGCGTGAGCCCAAAGCGCCACTCCACCCGCCGCCGCGTCTCCAGCCACCCCTTGCCCTCCACCGCCCCCTCTCCCCCCTCTTCCCCCCCTCCTCCCCCCTCTCCCCCCTCTTCCCCCACTTCTCCCGCACCTCCCCCCGCAGCCCGGAGGTGCACAAGCGAGTTGACGGCCTCGTCAGTGACGACGCGCAGGGTGAGTGCACGCGGTGAATCAGAGTGTGAGTGCACGCGGTGAATCAGAGTGTGCGGGAGTGGAGCAGGATGAAGGAATGAAGTGCATGGGCAGGCAGAGGCAGAGATATCATGTTTTGTGGATGTGGGGCGGAGAGGAATTTCAGATGCATGTGGGTTGATTAAAATCCACTTGCGCGACACCCACCCCACCTGCTGCCTGTTCATATTCGAGTTACTTTTGAGAATTATCAAAAGAGGCACATGGGCGCACACCCACCTCTCGCCCGTTCCAGCACATGGGGCTGCAGAGGCAGAGGTTCTGCGAGCAGCAGTAGTTGTTGCGGATGTGGTAGCACGAGCACCCCGTGCGCCGCTGACTCAGCGCCGCCACGTCAGCGCTGCTCTCAAACAACGCGAGAAGATCCTCAACCTGCAGAAGCAGTGGGGGTGAGCAGTGGAGAAGCGCGCTTCTCGAATTGCGCCAAGCGAGATTTGGGGGGGCAATTGGAAGAGGGATGTGAGCGAGAAGCGCAGCGGGGTGTTGATGGTGAGGCCGTGAGGGAGTGAGGGAGTGACAATGTGAAGGGGTGAGGGAGTGAGGGAGTAAATGAGTGAGGGAGTGAGGGAGTGGAGTGAGAGGGTGAGGAGTGAGGGAGTGAGAGAGTGAGGGAGTGAGGAAGTGAATGAGTGTGGAGTGAGGGAGTGAAGAAGTTGTGACGGCTCACCCAAGGTGCGAGCTTGGGGGGTTGGGCGGTGGGAGGGGATATGGTGTGGACGGGGGCCATGCATGCATGGATGAAAGAGCTTCTTGAGGGGTTGAGCGCGGGAGGAGGTGCCAGGTGGGGACGGCAAGGGAGGGGCGTGGTGGATGTGAAGGATAGGGAGAGAAGAAGAAGGACAGGTGAAGGGGAGAAACAGAGGGGGTCAACAGAATGGGGGGGTTGAAGAAGGGGGAGAGGCGAGCGCTGTGAGGGGTTGTTTGAGTCGACTCAAAGGCGCACGAGGGCGTCCGCGCGCGGGGCGACGCGCGGATGTGGGTGCAGCGGTGACGTAGGGACGGCGAACGGGGAGGGGAGGACGGTGGAAAGGGGTTGGAGGGAGCGGGTGTGGGAGGCAGAAGGGTGTGCTGCGTGGCAATGCATGTTGCCTTGCCACAGGATTTCCACGTTTCACGAATCCATTCACCACCCGCCAATCACCACACACCAATCACCACACACCAATCACCACACACCAATCACCACACACCAATCACCACACACCAATCACCACACACCAATCACCACACACCAATCACCACACACCAATCACCACCCACCAATCACCACCCACCAATCACCATCCGCCACGTACGCGCTGTTTGAAAGCGTCCTCCATCTCGGGGTGCTTCCGCGGCCGCTCGCGAATCAGCGCACCCACCCGCGCCACGCCGTACCCGCGTAACGCGCGCGCGCACGTATCATGTGGCGGGCTCGGCGCGGGGTGGAGGAGAAGCAGCGCGAGCAGGAGGCAGCAGAGGCGCATCAGGAGATGAGAACGATGGGGCATTCGATCGGAGTGCGGTCCGCGGCGAGGCGGTGTGAGGTGGCAGTGTCTGTGGCGTGGCGATGCCATGGCGTCATGCCCAACAGCCGTCTCTCTTCCCGCAAGCGCTGTTTCAACAGGTTTCAGTCGCGATCGTTGTTTCCGTCCATAGCGCGGTGCGTTTCGATAAAAAGCCACGGGTAATTCAAACTTATATCTGAGGCATTTGAATATGGAAAACGGTGAAGTGCGTTATAAGGAGTTTGAGCTGTATACTTCGGACACTGACATTATTGTTTCTCTATGTATGCATGTCACAATGTATTTCATCCAACCCAAAAAGGTCGTTTTACTTCTCAGAAACCTCATCTCTCAAGCTGCTGCTGATATCACCATCAGATAAATACAGATACGACTAAACTCTGCAGGAAGCTACAATAATAACACAGATGTCACCGCTAGCATTTCCCTGTAATAAAAGTGAACAGCACGCCCTGCGGGTGCGGGATATGAGGGTGCGCGGCTGCGAGGCTATGAGGGGGGGGGCTTGACCTCGAGCAGCTCCACTGTGAGCTGAATGGTGGCGCCCGGCTGCCACGTGCACATGGGGGGGGGAGCAGGAGCAGAGTCAGGGTGACGCAATGACGGTGGTGGGTGCCATCTCATGCAGGGTGTGCGTGAGGATAAATGGTTGGGGAGGATTGCGGAAGGGAAAATGCTGGGAAGGCAAGTTGCAGTGGTGCATGCATGATTGACATAGGCATGAGCATGAGCATGGGCATGGGCATGGGCATGGGCATGGGCATGGGCATGGGCATGAGGCAATATCATGTGAATGAGATGCCAATGACATTGCAATGACATTGCATTGACATGATGGCTCGCGCCACAGAATGGTTGCCAGGGGCCTGTAAAACTTGGTATGACATGGCATGAGACGGCACGGTATGGTACGGTACTGTACCGTACCGTACGGTATGGTATGGTATGGTGTGGCATGACATGGTATGGCGTGGCATGGAATGGCATGACATGTTATGATGGGATATGCCATGGTATGGTATGGTATGGTATGGTATGGTATGGTATGGTATGGTATGGTATGGTATGGTATGGTATGGTATGGCATGCTATGGTACGGTATGACATGGCATGGTATGGCATGGCATGGCATGGCATGGCATGGGATGGCATGGCATGGCATGGTTTGGCATGGCATGATTTGGCATGATGTGGTATGATAATTGGTATGGCATGGCAAGTCATGGCAAGCATGCATGGCATGGCATGGTGGTGGAGCTCACAGGGATTTCAGCCAAGCCCTTGTCGCCGTACCCTTGCTCCGGCGGCACGATGACTGTGCGCTGTGATGGGGGAAAGCAGATGAGAGGGTATAAGACAATGAGAGGGGATGCAAGGGGATGCAAGGGGATGACAGTAGGAGGTACTGACAGGGTGTAGCTCACATGCACACTGCATTGAATGCATTGGTTCACTCGAGGCCCATACGGGCGACACAGGGTGTATCTCACGGCCGCACTCCTACTGTCCCCTTTAACTGCTACACCCACTCCCCTGATGTCCCCCTTCCCCTCCTTCCCCCCACACCTCCCCCCCCTCTCACATTCCCCTCCCTCTCATTCCCCCCACCATCTCCATTCCCCCCACCATCTCCATTCCCTCCACCATCTCCATTCCCGCACGTTACTCTCACCTTCTGACACCTCCCGGCTCTCTTTTGCTCCAACTCTCATCCTTCCCCCAAACCCCATCACCTTGCCCCCCATCACCTCTCCCCCCCTCACCTTCCCCCCCCCTCACCTTGCCCCCCTCGCGCATGCCCTGCACGGCGCTGTAGAGCGCCCAGGGCGGTTTGGGGGCGGCCTGCGCGGAGAAGAGCCCGTTGGCCGACTCCGCGTACTCGCGCTTCCTCTCCGCGCCCGGCTTCGCGCCCAGTGTGAACTCGTACGGCTGGGAGGAAGAGAGGGAGGAGGAGGAGGGGAATGCACAGGGGGTAAGAGGGCGCACGGAGAGCGCAGTGGGCATTTGTTTCCCCGCCCCACAGCTCAGCGCGCAGGGGGAACTCTTACGGCTGGGGGGAGGGGGGAGGGGGGAGGGGGGAGGGGGGAGGGCAAGGGAGCGGTGCAAGGAGGAATACGAGAGAGTAGCGTTAATGATAACGTATATGGCTGGGACGACGAGCGAGGGTGAGGTGAGGTGAGGTGAAGGAAGTGAGGTGGAGGAAGTGAGGTGGAGGAAGTGAGGTGGAGGAAGTGAGGTGGAGGAAGTGAGGTGGAGGAAGTGAGGTGGAGGAAGTGAGGTGGAGCAAGTGAGGTGGAGCAAGTGAGGTGGAGCAAGTGAGGTGGAGCAAGTGAGGTGGAGGAATAAGGAGTAGGTGGGTGGGTGACGTGGCCTTTGGTTCTGCCCCTCCCAGCATGCTCGCGGTAGGGGAGAGGAAGGGAAGAGGAGTAGGAGGGGCGGAGTGGAAGGTGGTGGTTGGAAGAGGCATGGATGGGCAGTGAGGAGCGGAAGCACCAGTGGCAGTGGAGTGAGAGAGGGGCTTGGGATAAGAGGGTGGACAAACCATGTTGCGGAGGATTGGAGACGCGGAAAGAAAAAAGAGTAGGAACAAAAACGCTGGATGGAAGAGAAAAGAACAGGACGCAAGAACCAGGTTTCAAACGCCAGGGAACAGGTCCCAAGCAGAGCTTTTCGTGTTGTTGCCAAGTGACCAGCCCGACGCATTATTCCTTTCTCTACCCCACGCCATCATGTGGTTGCATAAGCGATATGATTTTGGTTCACGAATGATATGATTTTGGTTCACGAGCAATATGATTTTGGTTCACGAGCGATATGTTTTGGGTGCAGTGGACTTATGATTCTGCCGGCACACCTGCGAGATGACGCGGTTGCCGCCCAGCAGCTTGGACTGGCGGCTGGACACCACTGTGAGACTGCGGTACGTCACATCAAAGTGCACCTGCACGGCGGGTGAGGAGGGGCGAGGTGGGGGGGTTGTCAAGGATAGGGCGTAAGGTGGGAGGGCGTAAGGTGGGAGGGCGTAAGGTGGGAGGGCGTAAGGTGGGAGGGCGTAAGGTGGGAGGGCGTAAGGTGGGAGGGCGTAAGGTGGGAGGGCGTAAGGTGGGAGGGCGTAAGGTGGGAGGGCGTAAGGTGGGAGGGCGTAAGGTGGGAGGGCGTAAGGTGGGAGGGCGTAAGGTGGGAGGGCGTAAGGTGGGAGGGCGTAAGGTGGGAGGGCGTAAGGTGGGAGGGCGTAAGGTGGGAGGGCGTAAGGTGGGAGGGCGAAGGAGAGAGTGGAGAGGCCGGGGCGGAAGAGCAAAGAGTAGGAGAAGGTGGGCGAGGTGGAGTGGAGGGGCGTTGATGCGTGGAGAAGCGTGACGAGCTGAGTGCAGGGACGAGGGAGTGAGGGTGTGGTCGGCGAGCTGTGACGCACGCGCTCAGGAAGGCAGATGGCGTGGCATGGCATGGCATGGCGTGGCATGGCGTGGCAGTGTGCAAGGATGGATGAGCGTGGAGCAATGGGGGCAAGGGAAGTGAGTAGTGGCCCAGATGCAGCGGAACGAGTAGCATGTTCAAACGAGTTCGCTCGTTCGCGTGTCCTGGAGTAGCATGGCGGCACTTGCATGAGCGGAGCAGCAGTGACGCACGCCTAGCATGCCGTGCCTTTTGTCTCCCCCTTCCTCCTCCCTCCCCACTCGCCCCATCTTCCCACCTCCCCACTCGCCCCATCTTCCCACCTCCCCACTCGCCCCATCTTCCCACCTCCCCACTCGCCCCACCTTCCCACCTCCCCACTCGCCCCATCTTCCCACCTCCCCACTCGCCCCATCTTCCCACCTCCCCACTCGCCCCATCTTCCCACCTCCCCACTCGCCCCATCTTCCCACCTCCCCACTCGCCCCATCTTCCCACCTCCCCACTCCCCCCCTCGCCCCATCCCCACTCCCCCTCCTCGCCCCATCCCCCCCCCCCCCCCCCCCCCCCCCCCCCCCGCCTCCCCCCCCCCCCCCCCCCCCCCCCCCCCCCCCCCCCCCCCCCCCCCCCCCCCCCCCCCCCTCTCACCACGACGGGGTCGCCCTGCTGCGCCAGCCTGCCCTTGCCCGCCACCACGTCGTAGAAGCGCACGCCGCCCTCTGCCGCACGCGCACACCGGCGGGTGGGGGGGGAGAGGGGAAAGGTTGAGAGGGCGGAGAAGAGAGGAATGGGGGGAAAGGGCGGAAAAAGGGGAGAGGAGGTGAGGAGAATAAATTTCCCGCGCGTGGTGCTTCGCCTGATGGCGCGTCTATAGAGTGTGAGTAGCAGCGCTGGGATGGCCGCACGCAGCGGAGGGCGAGTGAAGCAGCCCCAAAAGCAACGAAACTTCCGCCATCCCTCAAACGCCTCTCGCCCTACCCCCCTCCGCACTCACCCCCCTCCGCACTCACCCCTCTCCGCACTCACCCCTCTCCGCACTCACCCCTCTCCGCACTCACCGCCCTCCGCACTCACCGCCCTCCGCACTCACCGCCCTCTTGGTACATCTCCTCGGGAATGTCGATCCTCGTCCGCCTTTCCCGCGCCAGTGCCACGTCAGCGCCGCCGTTTCCGGAGCCGAGGAACGAATCCAGCGCCGGCAGCAATGCGAGCGACGAAAGCATCGCGCGTCTCGTCACGCTGACGTCATCGTTTGGTCTCGAAGTAACGTGGGGGGTATTGGAGATGGAGTCCGTGGCTGGTGTTCGCACGGTTTCGCGAACTGTCGCGACATTCGCGAATTCGGTACTAGCTTGACAGGTAACAGTTGAAACGCCGGTCGACAGACGCTGGTTAGCAGAGAGAGGTTGAGTAAAGGCGTCGGATCGGGCAACCAGCCGCAATGCGGGTTTCAACGAAACGAGCGACATAGTCAATGGCAGGACACCCGAACGTATAGCGGCGGTACCTTGGCTAGCGCGAAGGAGGGTGTTATGGATTGCGAGGAGTGGAGCAGAGGAATGGCGGACGAGTAATTGGAGAAGTTTCCAAGGGAGGTATTGGGGAAAGCAGGGCGTGCGAGGTGAGGCACAGATTCAAATCGCAAGCGACGAACTCCGAGAATGACAAGGGTTTACTCAAATGTTCATACGCGCCCAAACCGTGAAACCCGGGCGAACGCGGGATCGCTTCCGCGTGCTCGCGGAAGCGATCTGCCCGCGGGCGAAAGAAAAACTAAAACCCAACGCGACCGGCATGCGGTTCGGGAGCATCAACCCTAAAATCTTAGGGTTGAGGCTCCCGAACGGCATGCTGGTCGCCTTGGGGTTTATTTTTTTGGCCCCTCGGGCAGAAAGCTTCCGCCGGCTCCGCGTCCTGGTGGAAACGGAATCCACCACGACGCGTTTGGGAGCGGATGAACTCTAGAAACACATTCTTCGCAAACAGATGCTGGTTCGAGCGACACATTTTGCCGACGATGACATTACTCAACTTCCACCACGCCAGATCTGACCGCTGTTGACGTGGCAGATTGAATTTCTGAGGATTGAGGGGCCGCCACGACGTCAAGCGGTACGGAAGTTCGTTGGCAGAACAGCCACGCCAGCAAGATCGCGTGGTGAAACCTCGTCGCGGTTGATGGTGCAATCAGGGAAATAATCACGCGACGCGACGATTTTCAACTTTTGCTCAATCATGTGGACTGGCCTCGCGCCGCCCTCCACAATTTTTCATTTCTCTTAATCCCATGGACTGCCACTTGTTGCTACACCCGGCAACACAGAGCAGTTGGGTTTTGTATTCGATTTTCGCAAGTTTAGGGTCCCTAGTAGTCCGCGCGTTGGCGAGAAATCGTATCTGACGCAATCCCGCTGCAATGATTGCAAACCCAGCGTGGACCTCTTTTTTCCGCGTCTGCATCCATGATTCACGGACTGTGGCACGATGGCGTTAGATTTCTTAGGGAGAGTGTGTGGTCCAGGTGTCTCTCCATTGTTCCAGATTGCCTGATGGAGGTTGACTCACGCACCTTGGAGGGCGCGTTACATCAGCGTTATGAAGACCAATGCAAGGCGTGGTCCTCGTATACGTACCTTAGTGCGCCACTCCACATGTTAATTTTACCGTTTTTTACCACTAGTTTTTTCCCGATTTCGTGCAAGAAGCTATTTTCATACTTTCATGTACCACGCCCGTAACTCAGCGATCAAAATCAATCGCTCCTCCCGCACCACAACAGATACCAGCGACTTGTAGATCTGTGTACCTCTGAAACAGAACCAACACACACAGATCTAGTAACTTAAGCTTCTGTCCACTTAAGGCCGATGGTGCTAAGACCATAAGGCAACGCATTAGTCGTACACTCAGAGCAGTCAGCCTGGCATCATGGCGTCTAGTCCCGCTTTTAAGATCCTCCGCGCAATGCATTCTGTGAAAGATCCCGCTCCGCTTCCAGAAACGCCCGACGATGATGCACCACTTGAGCTAGGCGGGCTGTACTCATCGCGAGATAAGTGTTTCGAGGCTTTACAGGAATATGCTCTCACGCACCACTTCGGTTATCATGTGCACATGACGAAGAAGAAGTATGTATTGGTCGGGTGTAAGGCGGTGGATGATAAATTGCCGAAAGTGGAATGTTTCTGGCACTGCGCATATCACGAGGAGACTGACTCTGGTTATTGGCGGATTACGACCCTCGTCCCGCCGGAGACCCATAACTGTCCGGCACCCGACCGGTACGAGTACGCAGTTTCCATCGCTAACAAGTTACCTGTCTTACTACGAGCCTACGGCAACATGGTCCGCGCCGATCCGTTCGTGGCACCCATTGAGCTGATGAAGCTCATGGAGGGTCAAGGGGGGGTCGAAATCCATTACTGGCAGGCATGGCGTATGAGAGAACACATCATCAAGGAAATGTACGGCGATTGGAAGGAGTCCTTCCGGCAGATCCCATTGCTTGTCGACCGTTTCCAAGTCATTGACCCGGAGGTGAAGGTGCATCTCGATACGCTTGGTGGACTCTTCCACCGTTTTTTTGTCTGCCTGCCTGCCTGCCTGCCTGCCTGCCTGTCAGCCTGCCTGCCTGCCTGCCGGCCTGTCTGCCTGTCAGCCTGCCTGCCTACCTGCCTGCCTGTCTGCTTGCCTGCCTGCCGGCCTGCCTGCCTGTCTGCCGGCCTGCCGCGCCTGCCCTGCCCGAGCTGCTGCTGCTACTAGCTATTAGCAAGGGACCAGATGCAGCTCCAGCGACGCTCACGCGAGTCTCTCACGCCCCAGCAGCTTAGTGAGTGGTATACTAGTTGGGGCTGTCGCGGTAGCCGTCGTAGCTGTCGCCCTGGAGCTGGTCAGTTGGGGGCCTCTAGCAGTGGCCAGCTGCAGCTGCAGCGGCGTCCACGCGAGACACTTACGTCTCGGCAGCTCGAGGAGTGGTACGCTCAGAGTAGAGGGTCTTTCAGTCCAGTCCGCTGCCGGTACGTCATTCGCACAGGTGATCGAGCTGGTCAGACCTGCGGGACGCCTGGTCACACACAGTCCCGCTGCTTCGCCCGCCTGAGCGACGCCTGGCGTACCGAGTTTGGTGACGAGGCTGAGCTCCCCACCTGGCTGGAGCTGCTTAGCCAGAGGGTAGATATCTTTGCTCTTGACTATGATGCTATTCTCACTGCCATGTATGCATTGCCTACTAGTGCTGACCGAGCCTGTTACCTGTGCGTACCGCCTGACCCAGGTATAGAGCCTGCTGCTCTCGGTGCTGGTGAGGCTGCTGCTCTAGGTGCTACTGCGTCTTCTGCTCTAGGTGCTGGTGAGGCTGCCGCCCCAGGTGCCTGTGAGTCTGCTCTCTCTGGTACTGCGCCTGCTGCGGCCTTGCACACCTTCACCCTCGACTCAGGAGCTTCCCGCTCCTTCTTTTGCGACTGCACCACACTCACGCCACTTAGTCGGCCGGTTGCAGTCTCCCTGGCGGACCCCTCTGGGGGTCCTGTCCTTGCCCACTACTCCACGGTTTTGCCGTGTCCGGCCGTTCCACCTGGCGTGCTGTCAGGTCTCTACCTCCCCTCGTTCTCTACGAACTTGGTGAGTGGAGCTGACCTCCAGGATGGGGGGGTTGACCAGTTCACTCCTGCGGGTCAGCGGGTGACTCACTGTACGTGTGCTCGGACGGGCCGACACCTGGCCACGTTTACCCGTGCGCCTGGCTCGAGTCTGTACACACTGACCACTGCGGCCCCTCAGGTAGCTGCGTCTGCGTCTGCGTCAGGTCAGCTGTCCTCCCCTTGCGAGTGTCGTGCTTTGTCGCACCAGACCCTCCTGTGGCACCACCGCCTTGGTCACCCCTCGGTGCAGCGCCTTCGTGGCATGCACTCTCGCTCTCTGGTTTCTGGTCTCCCCAGGACTCTGCCTGCCCTCCCTCCCTCCCTCGCCTGCGCCGCCTTGCATTCCCTGCGTCGAGGGGCGGCAGCGCGCCACTCCTCACTCCTCCTCGTTCCCTCCCACAGAGGCTCCCCTGCAGACTCTCCACCTGGACGTGTGGGGCCCAGCCCGCGTCCGTGGACAGGGCCACGAGCGGTACTTCCTGCTGGTCGTCGACGACTTCACGCGTTACACCACGGTCTTCCCCTTGCGCAGCAAGGGTCAGGTCCCTGATGTTTTGATCCCTTGGATCCGCGCTGTTCGTCTCCAGCTCCGCGAGCGGTTCGAGAGGGACTTTCCTGTCCTGCGTCTGCACTCTGACAGAGGTGGTGAGTTCACCTCCGACCTCTTGGCAGCCTACTGTGCGGAGCACGGCGTCCGCCAGACGTTCACGCTTCCGGCCTCTCCGCAGCAGAATGGGGTTGCTGAGCGCCGCATTGGCTTAGTCATGGAGGTCGCTCGTACCTCCATGATCCATGCGGATGCCCCCCATTTTCTGTGGCCGTTTGCGGTCCGGTACGCCGCGCATCAGCTCAACCTCTGGCCCCGTGTCTCCTTGCCGGAGACCTCGCCCACACTGCTGTGGACGGGGAAGGTTGGCGATGCGTCGCGTTTCCGGGTCTGGGGTGCTCGTGCCTTTGTCCGCGATACCACTGCGGACAAGCTCTCCGCCCGCGCTATTCCCTGTGTCTTCCTTGGCTTTGTCCCTGACGCGCCTGGTTGGCAGTTTTACCACCCCACCTCGCGTCGTGTCTTTGCGTCTCAGGACGTCACGTTCGACGAGTCGGTTCCCTTTTACCGTCTCTTCCCCTACCGCACTGCCCCTCTCCCTCCCCCGCCGCTCTTCCTTGCTCCAGGTGCTCCCCAGGTCGACCCTCTCCCCGCTCCAGGTCCTGCTCCCTCAGGTGTGTCTCAGGTAGACCCTCCTCCCTTCCCTGTGCCGGTTGAGGTCACTGGTGACTCAGGTCCTACTGGGGGTGGTCCTGCTCGGGGTGCTACTTCTGGGGGTGCTGAGCCTGGGGGTGCGGAGCCTGGGGGTGCTGAGCCTGGGGGTGCGGAGCCTGGGGGTACTGAGCCTCGGGGTCCTGAGTCTGGGGGTGCTGTCAGAATGTTATTTGTCTAGCCTGCAGTGGGGTGCTCAATAGTGAGTACAACCCCTTAGGGTTTGCTATTTGTGTGTTCTGCTGCTTGCTAGTCACCATTCATTCTTCGTTCCAATTCTCCTTCGTAAACCCTAACTCCTAGTTCTAGAGCACACCCACCTACCTCCTAGTGTGGGCCTAGGCTACTAAGCCTAGGCCCCACACCTACGATTCTAACATGGTATCTAGAGCCGGCGAGATCCTGCCGCCTAGTTCATCGGGCCCACCAACTCCTTCCGCTGTCGTACTATCCGCCGCGCGCCCCGTGGTGCGCGGCATTGCATTTTCTTCCCGCCACGCGCTCCGAACACGTGGCGGCTTCTTCTGCCCGCCGCGCGCTCGGGGCGCGCGGCGGTTATCCCGTCCGTCGAAGCGTCCTTGGGGGGGCCTGCGCGCTGCCCTCCCTGCTGCTCGTCGCGACGCCCGTGCGGGACCCGCGGGGCGTCGCCCTTACTCGTCGCGGCGCCCCCTGGGTGCTGCCCCTTCTCATCGCGACGCCCGTACGGAACCCGCGCAGCGTCGCCCTGCTCGTCGCGACGTCCGTGCGGGACCTGCGGGGCGTCGCCCCTGCTCGTCGCGACGCCCGTGCGGGACCCGCGGGGCGTCGCCCCTGCTCGTCGCGACGCCCCCTGCGGGACCCGCGGGGCGCCGTCAGAGCCTGCAGCAGCAGCCGCCGCTCTACCAGCAGCAGCAGCCGCCGCCGCTCTGCAGCAGCAGCCGCCGCCGCCCTGCAGCAGCAGCCGCCGCCAGGCCTGCAGCAGCAGCCGCCGCCAGAGCCTGCAGCAGCAGCCGCCGCCAGAGTCTGCAGCAGCAGCTGCCACCAGAGCCTGCAGCAGCAGCCGCCGCTCTACCAGCAGCAGCAGCCGCCGCCGCTCTGCAGCAGCAGCCGCCGCCGCCCTGCAGCAGCAGCCGCCGCCAGGCCTGCAGCAGCAGCCGCCGCCAGGCCTGCAGCAGCAGCTGCCGCCACCGAGCCTGCAGCAGCAGCCGCCGCCAGAGCCTGCAGCAGCAGCCGCCGCCAGAGCCTACAGCAGCAGCCGCCGCTCTACCTGCAGCAGTTGCCGCTGCCGAGCCTGCAGCAGCAGCCCCTGGAGCAGCCAGTCACTGCAGCAACCGCCCCTGGAGCAGCCCGCCACTGCAGCAGCCGCCCCTGGAGTTTGCCCGCCTTTGTTCGAGAGTGTGGGGGTGACGGGTATGGGGGTGCTTCGTGTGCGTCGTCCCTTCCTCCTCCTTCGTCTCCCACTGCTGCAGCTGCCGCTGAGGGGGGTGGATGTGTGGGAGCCGAGGGGACTGGCGCTAGGGGGGGTGATATGGGAGTGGAGCTAAGGGTGGACCAAGGGGTGTGTGTCGAGGGGTGTGGGACTGTTGGGGGAGGTTGAGCGGAGACCGCCGTCGTGTCGTCTACAGCGCCTGTACTCCGGGGCGCTCAATCCCGGTAGCTCAGAGAGCCGGTTGCACCTGTCGCCCGTGGGTCCGTTGCTCCTGCCGCTGCTGTTCAGCCGCCGAGCCTGTTACTCCTGTATTCCGGGGCCTTTCTCCTCCCGGTAGCCACCAGCGTTGCACCAGAGCCGTCTGTTGCCCGTGTGTCTGCAGCTTCAGTCGTCGCCTCCACTCTTCTCTCATCTCGCCAGCCCTCCTCCTCCTCACTTGCCCTCTGTGACTGCCTCTAGCTCTTCTTACAATTTATAAACTATTGGTTCTTGAACTTGTGCTCAGAATGTGTGGTGACGTCGTGATCCACCCTGAGCTTGTACTGCTTTGTGTGCTCTGCTGATTACACCCCACTTTGGCTATGGGGGTGTGTCAGAATGTTATTTGTCTAGCCTGCAGTGGGGTGCTCAATAGTGAGTACAACCCCTTAGGGTTTGCTATTTGTGTGTTCTGCTGCTTGCTAGTCACCATTCATTCTTCGTTCCAATTCTCCTTCGTAAACCCTAACTCCTAGTTCTAGAGCACACCCACCTACCTCCTAGTGTGGGCCTAGGCTACTAAGCCTAGGCCCCACACCTACGATTCTAACAGGTGCTGCACCTGGTCGCGCTGCTGGAGCTAGGGGCCCTGCTGCTGGAGGCGCTGGAGCTGGTGACTCTGCTACTGGAGTTGTTTCTGCTGGAGGTTCTGGAGCTGCTGAGGGCGCTGGAGCTGTAGGTTCTGGTGCGGCTGAGGGTGCTGGAGCTGGAGCTGGAGGTTCTGACGCGGCTGAGGGTGCTGGTGCTGGAGGTTCTGGAGCTGCTGAGGGTGCTGGCGCTGGAGGTTCTGGAGCTACTGGAGGTGCTGGC